CAATTCAATTATCTGAACAAGATTAACCAATTAATACAACTCATGGAAATTTTCATAAACCTACTGGGAGATCATTATAGTATATCAGTATCAAAGAATATCCCCCCACAACAGCATTTGGGCAGGGAAGTAACATATTTCTAGCTCTGAAAACAAAATGAAATTCTGAAATGCTAACAGTATGTAATTTCTACATCAACTCCACTAACAAGTGTAACAAAATGATTGAATGTCTCAAAAACAAAAAAGAAAACAGATCTTGTTCTTTTCTTCATAAACAAAATGCTTTGAGGGAATACTGAGGAAGTCATCTGCTCACCACCTTTTAAGCAGCAAGCCTATCCATTCAGTACTGGATTATGCTAAAAAGTGCTCATATGGGACCATTGATACAATCTCTAGCAACACTGCTTTAATCTACAGCTATAATCTACCTAGACTAAGAGCACAGGGCTGATTCTTCCATTAAAGGGAAGGCTAGCTGCTTTTCAAAATTCAAATTGTGAATTTAGCAGCTACAGACCTCATCAGAGATTCGTTTATTTATTTATTGCATTTTATACTGTCCATCTAGTGGCATACCACTACTCTGGGTGGTTTACAAACATAAATATAAAACATAAATGCCAAACCCATATACAAAGTTTCATCTTATGGAAAAAAAAATCAAAATGACCACATGTTCACTTTAATCTGTTTAAAATCACATTATAAATGGGTTTTGCCTTATTCTGCATTGTCCATAATGATTGTGTTTGAAGGAGGAATCTTGTTTCCAAGTCCACATTTTTAATAGGTTTCAAATGCAATCATAAAAGGAGGCTGGTGAAATAGGAGATAATTAAATTATTTTAGTTATGTCTGATTACCCATAACTATCTTACATTAACACATATCTGGTGGTTTTCAAGGGCTTTATCCTTCAAGGGGTTTATCCCTACATATCACATATATCCTAGGGGCAATGCTGCCCCCAAGGTGTTCCATAATTTATAGGCAGTCCCTAATCCTTTTACTATTTTGCATTCCCTTCAAAGGGAATCAATCCCCCATCTGAGCATTAATAAACAAAAGCTGAGATTCTCATTATAACTCTACTAGGATTTAGATATTTTATTTATATTCAGCTTTCCCCTACAATTCATTAAATCTGGGATGAGGTCTGAGCATTCCAGAAGTTCACCAAATGAAAAGTGGCAATGAAATGACACTGGGTGTGCAGAAAATGGGAATACAGTGGACCCTTGACTTACGGAATTAATCCATATTGGAACGGTGGCTGCAGGTCGAAAAGTCTGTAGGTCGAGTCTCCATTGACCTACAATGCACTGAAAACCAATTACAGTGGTGCCCCGCATAGCGACGTTAATCCGTTCCAGGATTAACATCGCTATGTGGATTCATCGCTATGCGGGGGGGGAACCCCATAGGAACGCATTAAAACGGGTTTAATGCATTCCTATTGGGGCGAAAACTCACCGCTATGCGGGGAATCCTCGATCCGGCTGCCATTTTCGCTGCCCGGTAAGCGAGGGCAGAGCGCGAAAACACCACGGGTGTCAATTTTGCGGATGCGGCAGCCATTTTGGAACTGCCATCAGCTGTTTAAAAACATCACATTCCCTATTAAAACATTGCAATGCGATCGCATTAGCGATCGCAAAAAACGTGTCACTATGCGAATTCGTCGTTAAACAGTGCGCTCGTTAAGTGAGGCACCACTGTAATCCGTAACCGGACATTTTTGTTCCATTTTGGTCTGTAGGTTGATTCTCCAGGTGCAAGTCAAACCTAAATTTTGCGGCCAGAGAAGTCTGTAACTCAAAAAGCCTGTAAGTGGAGCCGTATGTAAGTCGAGGGCCCACTGTATGCTTTCATGACACATTGGAATGGTATATATGAAAACAAACAGGTGCCTTCCTGACAGGTGTAAACTGTTTCTTGTGGTTGCCGATCAGCCGCTTCTAAGAAGCCCACAAACCACGTTGAAGTCATTGATTTAAAATATGAGGGCAATTTTTACACGTATATAACACCAGCAAGGGTACTCTTTTCTCTGTAGTATTCAGAATGTTGCATTCATTGTTTTTTCATGATTTGAAGAAAATATATATCACTATAGTTGGGTGGATAGCTCAGTGGTTTAGATATCTAGAGTCCAAGGTGGGGAGTTCGATTCCTTACTGTGCTTCCTGTGAGTAGAGCCAGACTGTGTGACCATGAGCATCCTGCACAATCCCAGGATGCCCCCAGCGGAAACCACTTCTGAATATTCTCTATCTGGAAGAGCTGCCATAGAAGGGCCTTTTTGGCAGCTGCCCGAGACTATGGAATTCCATCCCAACTGAGATTCATCTGGCGCTGACGCTGATGACATTTCGGTGCCAGGTCAAAAACTTCCTGTTCCAGAAAGTTTTTAATTGAAATAATATCAACTGTGGATCCTGATGGCAATTTTTAGAGTATATAGCTGGCATTCTCTTCAGTACTGATATTGTAGCATATTGGGTTTACTGTGCATGTATTTTTAATTATGTATTTCTGGTTTTTATTTTAACGTAAGTGTGACGTTTGCCATGTAACCCCTGCTTGTTTCTCCAAACAAAGGGCTCACGCTATATCTTCCCACCCGCAGATAACAATTGGGATGTTCCCCCTTTTGCTCACTGCCACCAGTGGATTTCTTTTATCCACAATATATAACGAACTTTAGTCAGACACTTGCTGCCAACAGAACTTATTTATTGAAGTGTATTAACTTTAATCAGATTCACAGATGTTCTATATTCAATGCATGCAGTCTAATCATTCAAATATCATACAGTATATCTTGCCACATTCACCACCTGCTCTATCTATCTCGATCAGCTTATCTCTATTATTATTTCTTCTCACTATCTCCCCGACTATCTCTCTCTCTCTCTGCTTCTTTCTGCTTCTTTCTCTATTTCTATGCTTCCACTTCTCCCTGCCACCTTCTTATCTCTGCTGACTCCGCCTCTCCACTCCTCTCATAGGCTCATGAAAATGAGATCCTGGGTATGAGTGACAGGAGTGACGTGGGGCAACTGTCACAGTAAGCAACCTGGAATTTTACAGAAGATAAAATACAGGATAAATAATTTAGGTAAATAAAGATGGCATCTCAGGATACGTCTCCAAGAGAATTGTGTAAGAATCAGTATTCCCATTTTTTTGTTTCTTGTAGCAACACAAAATGACTACGAAGCTTAGGGTGCAACTACACAGGGAGTAAAACACGACAGTATTTGCTTCTTTTTAAATTAGGTTCCTGTTAGTTTCTGCTGCTGAAACCACTATTAACTTTTACATTAATACAATTAATTATCCTGTTGCAAAAAAGCATATCATAATTCCGAACTGGCTTAATTTCCAATTAAAACATAGTCCTGCCCCATAAATAATGCCCTCTTTCCCACATCTTCCCTTGTCCTCTTTGTTTGTTTGTTTGTTTAATGGAAGTTAGATAGCAATTATCTGATATGGTGTTAAATTTGACAAGCATAATAGAAAAACAATAAATTCTTTGGAGGAGAGAATATAACAGACACTCAATCAAGGGGAATTATTCTGCTGTAAGACTGGGCTTCCCTATGCTTAGCTTCATGATATGTGAGTTGCCAGTAAATACAGTGGTGCCTCGTTTAGCGATGTTAATCTGTGCAGAAAAAATCACTGCTAAGCGATAACATCGCTAAGCAATATTAAAAAGCCCATAGAAACGCATTAAAACGCCATTAATGCATTCCTATGGGCTAAAAACTAACCTTTAAGCGAAGATCCTTCATACGGCGGCCATTTTCGCTGCCTCTTAAGCGAGGAATCCCTCCCTAAACACAGCCAGCGGCCATTTTGTTTACCCGGCGGCCATTTTGGAACCGGCGATCAGCTGGCCGAAAATGGGGGCTTTGCAATGACCGCTTCCCTGCGATCATCGCAAAGCGAAATTTCCCCATAGGGACCATCGCAAAGCAATCGCTTTTGTGATCGCAAAAACATCATCGCAAAGCGATTTCTTCGTTAAACGGATCAATCGCTATGCGAGGCACCATCGTACTTAAATTTTAACCATGCCAACTCCGACACAATCCATGGGGTAAAATGCAACATAGTTACACCTTATGTGTTATATCAGCTTCACTCTGATTAAGAATTTAGAAAGCCAAATGAGAGTATGATTTGATTCACAAACGCCATTACATTTGAAATCACAGTATTAAAACAGGGACTGTAGCTAGATTGAGCTCATGGGTGTGATGAAATTCATGTTCCAGCCCACTGCTCCCCTCCTTTTCTTTCTGCTCTAGGCTGACCATTGCCGACCCTTCCTTCCTTCTCTGGTCCCACCTCTGCCAAACCTTATATGGGCATAAGTGCAGAAAATAACAATGACCCAGCAATATGGTGATAGGATGAACTAGTGCTAATCTCATATATATAAGATATTTTAAAAGTTAGAGGGTAATCAGGGAGAGGAAATAATGTGAGGGCCTGTTCCCTAGTCTTGAACATTACACCCCAACTGCCCTTCTCACCAAAAGTCCACCTACAAACTTGCCCCACATCTTTAAAAGGACATATCACAAATAACCACATGGGAAAAAAGTTCATTTGAATTGTTCTAGCTTGAAAAAGCAGAAACCCCCCACCAGCAGAGAGAGAAAAAAGCTGCTTTGAAAGCAAAAAAGGATTGGGCCGATTCAAATCAGTCTTTGCATCATGTGATCAGTAAAAAATACTTCAAATTTACCCCTTTTATTTGTCCATGTGATCACAACCTAAGACAGCAATACCATGTCCAGAACAACAGGTAATGACAAGCCTGCCTTGGGTACTGGTATCAGTAGAAAGAGAAGACACTAATGAAATAAAGACAATACAAATTTTACATCTAATAGTTCATATGTAGCTAAGTACACTGAAGTGACCAGAGAAAGAGGCTACGTTTAGTGGTGAAGAAAGCTGGGAAGACAGCTTACCAAGAACAAGCAGCTCCACTGACTCTTCATTCTTGCCCTCTACATCATCAGGCGTGATAATAAGACAGTAATACAGTCCACTGTCTCCCCACATCAGTTTCCCAATGTGAAGATCTGCATCTAAAAGATGATGTAACAGAAAAAATAAAATCAGACCAGCAGAGAAAGCAAAGGGCTAAACATAAAATTTTCATCATCACTAGCCACTGCCAAGAAGGAAATTTCCCTTCTCTCAAGTGCTATATCACTTCCCATGCAAATGAGGCTATGGTCTCATTGGCAACAAAAACCACATTTAAGCATAATTTAAATCAATTTAGATTTTATCGTTTGCATGACACAAGGGTGAAATTGATTTATATGGGCTGCAATTGGCCAACAGGGGCTTTTAAAAATATCTCACTTCTTAAATTCATTCAATTCAATGCAATTTTGTGGATGTGAATGCTGCTGTCATTTTAATTGGTGCCTATGTGGATTTTGGGTGGCAGGGGCACAACCGTTTTTCCTTTCAATTTTTTTAAAAAATATTTCTTAAATTGTTTATTGATGCATCACTTCATCAATACATTTGGCATTACAACCACCTACCCTGTTCTCTCCATTCAGCAAATGAAGGAGCTAGTGAAGCAGCAAAAGACCAATAGGCACAAAGTAGGCATGCCTGGACATGGAGGACAGTCTGGACATAGAGAATATTAGGAGAATCATCCACCAAAGAAGTTGGGAGCCTTCCCCTCCCATTCTTATTTTTTCATTATTAATTTGATGCTCCCTTGTCTGATGTTTTCCCCATAGATTCTAGTGACTATTATGACACCAAGTGGCACCTCCTAGACACTCAATTTATCAATGTATCACTTACTTAAAAAAAAAATAAAATCAAAACCTTTAAGAAGAGCATGCTCTTAAAACAGAAAGGAAATGAGTTGATTTCAGCAGTGTAGATGCCAAAACTGGTTTAAATCACCAAAAATAAATCAATTTCTATTCAGTGCACGTGAACATGGCCAATTTAGATATCACGATGTGGTAAAGACATTTCTCTTCAGGCAGGCATTCTTTCAGCAACCAGCTTCCTCTGAGTTGTTGGGCTTTTTAAACAGGGTAGTTATGTCTTTTCTTTTTCATTTTTTTTCTAAAACTATTTAAAACTATTTTAAGTACTAATGCATAACATTATGTTTAATTGCTTTTTAATATTGGAATAATATTGTAACAAATGAAATTTTCAATACCGTCTCTCTTAATATGGTAAGCCACCTTTAATCACTTTGGGGAGAAAGGTTGGCTACAAATACTAAAAATGAATGCAAAAATGAATGACACCAATAGGATTCTGGCCTTTATGTTTTGTTGATATTTGTAATTTTAAGTCTTTTGTTGATTTCCCCCCATTTAAACTAGTGTAAGAAGATGAGGAGTTGTTGTATAGAAATGCCTATAATAAGCACACTGATCTCTACAGCAAAAATGAAAAATGTCATAGCCAAGAATGATTCCAATAATCAATAAAGTGCCAGGCAGGTAGTTACCATGGACAATGGTGACATCTCTTCCTTTGTAAAATTCTCCTATTGTTACTGAAGAGCCCTGCTTGGAAGCTACTGCTCGAACTGTTCTTCTGTTGTCCAAACAGTCCAAGTAAGGGTCCCATTCCAAGTTCCTCTTGTTCACTGCCTGTATTCCTGCAGAAACCACTCCCAGGGCTTCACCCATGCGATCCTGGCAATAGGATTTGAACCTCCATTGTATCACCGCTGGTTGTGTGGAAGAAGTTGAAAAGTGGCAGCGAAGTACAACAGGCTGAAAGAGCATGGCTACCCGTTTCTTCTCGGGTACCATGACATCCAGTGCTTCAGTTACAGCTGCAAAACAAAACCAACAGTGTTAAAATAATCATGCCATTTGGGTAGGACAAAGAAATTATGTTGAAAGAATACTGGTAGTAATAAGCTCCACAAAGCACAACAGGGATGACATTAGCAGCAGTGGCAAATTACCACTGATGAAAGACTTCCATTTATAATTTCAAGGTGCATGATGTTGTTATATTTTGTAGAAATCACAGGCACCCCAAAAGCACTTTTAATCAGCAGTGACTTGTCTTTAATTGGGCAGCAATTTGCCACTCATGACAATATTACCCTGTTTCCCCGAAAATAAGACCTAACCTGAAAATAAGCCCTAGTATTTTTCAGGATGCTCATAATATAAGCCCTACCACAAAAATACATTAAACCCCAGTTAAGTGAAACCCCGTCCTCCACCATTGTGCAGCAAACAAAAGAAGAGGACCTGACTGTCATAATAATTCAAACTGAAGGAAATGAATCTGTAATCTCAAAACACATCTGGATGCTCACCCAGGTATATTTATTTATTTATTTATTTGATTTGTATCTCGCCCATCTGGTCTATACGACCACTCTAGACGGCTTCCAATATAACATAGACAACTAATAAAATAAAAAAATTACATAAATCTTCGAATGACAATTTACAAACCAGAAAATAGAGTAAAATAAATAAATAAATAAAGAATGAAAAGAACGGATCAAGTATATGCCACATGACCATGAAGCACAAGAAAGGGATGGAAAGTATCATTAACAGAGTTGAACATTTCACTGGTGTGATCGCAGCCTAAGATAAAAGGAAAAGAAACAAACTATCCATCCATTAATATTCAATGAAAATAAACTTTTCTGATAATTCATCTTCTTGCTGGTGAGGATTATATCCCCCTACTTCAAGACTAATTTTCAATGTAAAAGTGCTGGCTGGAAGACATCCAGAGCTACTTTCACAGCCAATTTAGAAAAGAACACGCTGGCAATGCAAACAATATTGTTTCACCAGCCATCACATACTTCCACAGTAAAGGCAAAAAGCACCTTCATCTGGGCTATGTTTTTCAAAAGCATCTACAGTACTAAAGCATACATGATTTTTTAAATAAGCCCTCCCTTTCTAAAACACTTATATATCTAAATCAGGCAATTCAATAAATAATCTCACAGTTCATACCAAGGGTGAGATTTCTCATGATAAGAGGTGTGAGGAATTGCTCAACGAAACTACAGTTAGATTAAGAACAAAGGTAGACGATCTAATTATAACATTAACACACACCATGTATGTGTTACTGACAAAGTACAGGGGAAGTTCAGTACAAAAGCAGAAGTGGGGATCGTTTTTAGCATGAAAAACTGGAAACTCCAATGAAAATTCAGTAGATATCTCATGATGTAACAGAATGATGAACCCTTCACAGATTAAGCTTTCAGCCACTGTTGGCTACTGTTTCAAGGCATGTATTCCTAGATTGAACATACATAATGGAAGTGTCAAAACACCAGACTATATAGTTAACAGCTACCATCCAGTGCAGAGTATCTTTGCTTGAATCCATCCGGAACCAATGAAAATAGTAATTACATCTAGAAGAAAACATACCACTTGTTTTGGCTGTTTCGGTGGACTGGAGACAAAGAAATCAGTTTGCTTGATGCTAAGGTGAAAGCAGATACAGAATGCACATTATTTTCCATTACAGACACTTTGCCTAGAACTGACACTGTTATTCACTTTGAAGACACACATATCCAACTGAAAAGCCAAAGTTTTATGTTCTCCCCATTCTGTGGTGATATGAAGATTTGGTACCAGAATTCACATTTTTGTTAGACAGCATAATGGTGTTGGTGAACTGAGGAGTTATGTGAAAGCTAAATGAATTTTATATTCCTATCAAGGATTTTTTTCCTGGATGGGATGTGGATTCAAAATGTTCTAGAGATTTTAAGCAAGAACTACTGGTGACAAGAACAATTTGTACTCTATTAATCTGTCTGTGGCGTCTGTTCTCTTGTAGGCAACCCCCGCCTCTCCTCCCTTATTGATCTATTTCTTTACTTTCCTGTGTGAGCATGATTTGTAAAGAATGCCTCATGTAAGTCTCGCAAGTATTGTTATCTGAAGAAAATATCTTAGGGCTTTGCTGTGAACAATGAATCATGGGATATGCTCTGTCACCATTGCCCATAGTAATTAGAGCCACATAGGAATATGTACCAGTGAATTGGTTTCTGGAATTTTAGATTAGGCATCCTTCAGTCTCAAAAGACTATGGTAACGTGCTCTGTATGGAGGACTTGTGGCTGAGGAGGCTAATTCGAGAGTGACAATCCCTTCTACACTGAAGACAAATCCAATCTGTCCCCTGTCCAGCTCCCTGATTTTGTCGCTTTCATGACTGCCTCTTTGCCTCGGCCTGCTGAGGCTCTTCAAATTGGGAGAGGCAGTGATGCCTGTTGCATACATGCACTGGTGTCCAGGAAACAAGGGTACTACAGTGTTCTGGACACAGTTGATGATGGGGACGAAACAAAATGGAATTGTGAAATTTCTCAGATACAGTGGTGCCCCGCATAGCAACGTTAATGCGTTCCGGATTAATCGTCGCTATCCAGAAACATTGCTAAACGGAACAAGAAAGCCCATAGAAACTCATTAAAACACGATTAATGCGTTCCTATGGGCTTAAAACTCACCGTTGAGTGAAGATCCTCCATAGGGGTGGCCATTTTTGGTGCCTCTAAAGCGAGGCAACCCAGTGGGCACCCATTTTGGAACCGCTGATCAGCTGGCCGAAAATGGGGTCTTTGGCATTTTACATTGCTAAACGGAACAAGAAAGCCCATAGAAACTCATTAAAACACGATTAATGCGTTCCTATGGGCTTAAAACTCACCGTTGAGTGAAGATCCTCCATAGGGGTGGCCATTTTTGGTGCCTCTAAAGCGAGGCAACCCAGTGGGCACCCATTTTGGAACCGCTGATCAGCTGGCCGAAAATGGGGTCTTTGGCATTTTCCCCCAGTTGAGTGGCGGGAGCTTCGAAGCCCCGCTGCTCAGCTGGGGGAAAATGTCGGCAGTCGGTCAGCGGTGGCTTTGGAAGGACCCCGAAGCCACCGCCGACCGCCGACATTTGCCTTCCGAGCTCTCAAAGGGCTCCCCCCCCATATTGGAGAAAGCCCTTTGAGAGCTTGGAAGGCTCTCAGCAGCGGCGGGGACAGGGTAGGGGGTGTCCGGATGGCTTCCTGAGAGTCCGACCATGGTGGGGGTAGCCGGCCGCAGGGCGGATCCAAGTGGCGGTGGCGGCAGGGGTCCGGATGCCTTTCAGGCATCCGAAGGGGAATCCCGGTGGTGGCCTCGGAAGGACCCTTCGGAAGGGTCCTTCTGAGGCCACCGCAGGCATTTTCCCCCAGCTGAGCTGCGGGAGCGCTCCTTCAGAGGCTCCCGCCGCCCAG